TGCGGCGGTGTCGTCGCTCTTCCTGCTGTGTGTGCTGCTGTTCGTGGCGGCGCGGCTGTGCAGGAGGGCCAGGGCGGCCTCGCTGGGGGGCTGCTCGGTGCCCGAGGGCCCCTTCCCGGGCCACCTGCTGGACGTCAGCGGCACTGGGACCCTGTCCCACAGCTACCAGTATGAGGTGTGTCTGAGGGGAGGGACTGGGGCCAGCGAGTTCAAATTTCTTAGGCCTATTATACCCGATTTTCAAGTCCATGATACAGATAGGAATATGGAGGAAAAGGAGAACTTTCGCAATAGCTTTGGACTCAACATTCAATAAAATATGTCTGACAGGAGGATCTGAGACAAATGAGTTCAAGATCTTGAAGCTACTTATCCCTAATATTGAGTCCCAGGGCCTGGAAAAGAAACAGGAAAATTCTATCTTCCACAAAACGGTTGGAATTAATTATTGATTGGAATACATTTAGTAAAGACTTTCACTTCCTAAGATTGTCTTGTTGATGAACTAAACTGTGCCCACTACCTCTAATACGGAGCTATTTAAATTTCTGGTTGATCAGTTTTCAATTTCATGCTTAATACATGTTTCTTTTCTTTCTTTCGTTCTTTCTTTCGTTCTTTCTTTTCTTTTTTTAATTTACCCCAGTGAAGTGCTGCTTAGAGAATCCCACTTAATAGACTTTATCTTTAAGGTTGATGTCACTTAAAATGTTTTCAACTTCATAATTGTTGTATTGACGTTATATATGTACATATTTTTAAAACTTGCTAGAGAGGGTGTGCACTTGGAGGAGAGAGAAAGAGAGGAAAAAGAGAGGAAGAGAGAGAAAGTGCTCCCCTAGGCCATGGTCACGCTATCATCCCTCCTCCATTTCTCCATCCTGTTGAGATTTTGTCTCTGAAGCCACCAGGTGGATTCAAGCTTCACAACTGGCCATGTAGGATGTGTCCACCTTATTACCAGGCCACAGATCCAGCCCAGATTTTATTTTATTATCACTTTTATTATTTTATTCTTTGTTTTAACTTTCTTCCTAGAACTTCTTCAGTTATTAAAACAATATGCTGTGTTCGATATGCTTATTTACTATTTCATATTTCTTTCATTTTCCTTTCAAGTGTGTATTCTTGTTTGTCACTCTCAATTTTATATAACACTTTTCTTAAACTATATTAATTTTTTAAAAGCAAGTTCTATCTTTCCTGTATTGTTAGCTCCATAATTGAGGTTTACTATTTCTGCTATCATAAGTCAATTTTTAATCAGTTTTATCTGAAAATAAGAAAAGCCATTGTAAAACATTGAGTGTGCACGAATGTGTTTTAAGTCTGAAGATAAAAAGGTAAAACTAAGTCTTCTATAGCATCATGTAGAAATAATCAAATCATATTGACTGAAAGGCACTAAATGTTTCGTGTCCTACTCACTAGAGTTTGTGTATGTATACCTTCATGAGCAAGCATCTAGCAAGTAGCTGGTTTCCCAAAGTGTCTAGTACATAATCCCTGTCCTCAAGTAGCTCACCTCTTGAAAAAAGGACAGATTGGCATAAAACCAGAAGCAATCATATTTTCAGGGCAATCACAGTTGTGTGCATTAAGTCTTTGTGGAAGCACAGAGATGGGACAGCCTCAATGCTTGGTTCTGGATTGCAGAGTGCTGATTCTGTTTAGGATTTTAAAGAAGTGTAAGAAACAAGTTTTGTTTATTTTGGTCCTTCTTTGGTGCTCTTATGCCTCACCTTTAAGGGAAAGCAAAATGGATTATTTTGGTGGTCCCAGAGGACAACCAGGAGTTTTCCTTTGGTTCCTAATATTGCGTGGGGGTTTTGTCGGAGGTAAGAGACCTACAGCAGAGCTGCATCTGGCATAGGGAAATGAACACAGCTCCTGCTAGAAACATTTTTTTGTCAAGGGTTTAGTTTTTAAGTCTTCCCAGAAATAAATGAGAATCTCAAACATTTGAATGGTTCTCTAGCTCCAGCTTATGTTTGAAACAACAAACAAAATGAAAGAAAACTTAAAAATTTAAATAAGTCACTCAAAGAAAGGTTTTATGACTATATATAGACACACCAGAATTAGATACTATCATTTGAGTCCGCCACACGGTGGCGCTGCAGGCTAAAGAGCTGGGAACAAAATGAACACTGATCATTCCCGAAATCATTAATACAAGAAAGGAAGGTGGGGACAGATGGTCTGTGAAGAAAAGCTGTAGCGGTTCAAATATCCAAATCCTTGGATAAGGGAAAACAATCTAGTTCCCTGCTCCTACACAGCTTAGTTCCGAGGTCTGACTTGCGTTTACGCTGGGTGCAGTGTTCCTGACTGACATTGGCTGAAGGAGAAGCTATGGAGGCCAGAGGGTTGCGCTTCTTGAGACCAAGGCAAGTCCTCTTTCTCTTTCTGTTCTGGGGAGTGTCCTTGGCAGATTCTGGGTTTGGACATTATTGGGTAACAGAGGAAACAGAAAGGGGCTCCTTTGTGGTCAATCTGGCAAAGGATCTGGGACTAGGGCAGGAGGAGCTGGCTGCCAGGGGAGCCCGGGTGATTTTTGAGGATAGCAAACAACACTTGCTCCTGGATTCCCATACTGGGAATTTGCTCACAAATGAGAAGCTGGACCGGGAAAAGCTGTGCGGCCCCACAGAGCCCTGTATGTTATATTTCCAAATTTTGATGGATAACCCTTTTCAGATCTACCGGGCTGAGTTGAGAGTGAGGGATATAAATGATCACTCACCAGTGTTTCGGAACAAAGAGATGGTCTTAAAAATAGTAGAAAATACAATGGAAGGAACAGCATTTCGACTAGAAAGAGCACAAGATTCAGATG